TGGGGCGCCTGGGTGGCTCAGTTGGTTGGGCGACTGCCTTTGGCTCAGGTCATGCTCCTGGAGTCCCGGGATCGAGTCCCGCATCGGGCTCCCTGCTCGGCGGGGGGTCTGCTTCTCCCTCTGACCCTCTCCCCTCTCGTGCTCTCTCTCTCAAATAAATAAATAAAATCTTTTTAAAAAATAAATAAATAAAAAATAAATTAAAAAAAAAAAAAGAATGCAGACGGGATTTTTTTAAGCCTGTGCCTTATAAGTTTTAGACCCAGAATATTCAGATGCCTTCAGCTCAAGCCACTTCAATGAATTCTTATTATCCCTTTTTAATTGGGTTTCAGAAACACAACAAGGCTGCTGTTTGGCCTATTTTTCTAAGGGCAGTGGTGGCAAGAACAGTCCATTTATTTGGGGGTCTTCTTTCATATTTTCAAGTATTCCTCCTTTAAAAAGAAATTCATCTATAGATTCTGTTTATTGAACACTTACCATAGACAAAGGCTTGTTCTCCATACTTAATGTCCACTCTCTGATTTTAAAACTCCCAACCAAAACCACCCCATGAAGTTGGTGGTTAACCGACTTTGACCATAGAGTCAGCTTAAGGAATCCAAGATGATGCAGCTGGATCATCACCCTTGCAGAGTTTGACCTGGTCAGCAGGGCTCCAGAGCATCACCTCTCAACCACCGCTGCAGACTGCCTTCCTGAGGATTCACGTTGGATCTTTATCTACGAAGAAGGCAAGGTTTAACAGACGCACGGCCTGTTCTACAAATTGAGCCTAGACATTCCCCAGGCAGGTGCTCTTGAATACCTCTCCTGCCTTAGGATTTCTTTTTCTGTCTGCAGAAAGGTCTGAGTAGGGAGCCTGGCCAGGGTGGAGCTAAAGTATCAAAGTGTTTGGAGCCAAGTCTCACCTTTTCTCTTTAGTGGCATTCAGATGACAAGCTGGAAAAATTCATGACTTAGGAAGAAATCAGGCAATAAAGTTGCAGACTTGGAGCCTATTTTTGTACATAGGTTTATTCAGAAAGGTTGAATGGAAACTAGTCTTTGAGTATTACCACGTGCTGGGCATTGCTTAGCCCTTTACACCTGTCAGACTCATGTTAGCCCCATGATCATCATCTGAAGGCAAAAAACTGAGGGCTCAGAGATTTTTCATGACTTGCCCTGCAGTATAAGATAGTATAGAGCTAATCTGGGATGTGAACTCAGGAGTGGATGTTTATAAGGATTTTCAACTACACTATCCTGTCTCAGAATTTTCCCAACATGAAAAAAAAAAAAAAAGAATTTTCCCAACGTGAGAGATTTTTGGAGGTTATCTGTTAGATTCTAAATTCCATGATTGTCTTTCTCCACCTTTCTCACCACCAGGAAGTAGACATGCAAGTAATAATTATTTAATGACTGAGTAAGGGATGGACCAATTGAGTGACAGATTGAGGGAGAAGGATAGACAGATAAAATGATACCACCTTCCATGAACTTTTATATAAATTAAGAAAGCATTCCTAGGCTCTCTCATCTGTATATTTTGCATTGATCTGCATGTCCAGTATCCTGTCCTTCTAATATTAAACAAAGCTAAATAATTAGAACAGTCTGAGCACTTGTTTGCCCTTGTGTATCAAGGAAGGGCTCTTGCCATGGGAAGACATGGACTCACACGAAAGCTTCTCTGTCCTCTGCTCCTTCTTAGTCTAGCATTCAGCTCCAAGTGACACTGCTAGGAAGCTTGTCCTTATTACTCTAGCCATCCTGGAAGGCACCCCCCTCTCATGCCCCATTCAGTAGTTATTTACTGAAACTAATCATTGAGCACTTCACTTCCATTTTACATTTAAAATAAAATTCAGAAACCCCAAACTCCTTACCAGGGCCAAGAGAAGGCCCCCCATGTTCTGGCTACCCTGTACTCTCTCCCTTGTTCACTGTCTTCAGCGCCCTGACTGGCCTTTTGGCCTCTCCTCAAACACAGCAAGCATGTTCTTACCAAGCACAGATGTTTGCTTCTTCCTGTGTGCAGGGTGATCTCCCAGATCTTTAGCTGATGGCTCCTTTTCATCGCGTAGGATTCGTTCAGTCCATCAGTCAGTCAGTGACTGTTTATTGAGCTCCAGCTATGTGCCAGACATGGTTCTAGATGCTGATAATGCAACAGAAAACAAAGTCTGCCCTCGTGAATATGCCTTTTAGTTGGGAAGAAGGACAGAGAAGCAAATAATGATAAAATGTAAGACAATGATAAATGCTTACATGTCCACTTCCCCGACCACACCTGTGTCTCCTGTTGCAAGGTACCATCTGTTCCATGCAGAGGCCTGCTTAATTCTTCTGTTAGTACTTACTAATGCTTCAAATAATAATTATTCTGGTTTATTTTCTTTGTTATTTTACACCATGAGAGTCTTGAGTTCAAGGACCTTGTCTCTTATTTGCTTTTATATTCTAGAACAGTGCTTGGCACAGAGGAGGAGCTCAGTGAAAATGTTCATGATGTGACATCATCTGTCTGTCTGTGTAGGAGTTTTCAGTATCACTCTGAGCATCAGAGGAGGATCCAGACAACCAGGAGCCTATAATGTGCCAGGCATTGTATTTGTCATGAGGGACCCAGCAGTGAGTGATCTACAAGATCACAGAGCAAAAGAGAAAAAGTTAAAGTAATAAAAAGTAATGAAATGATTTAAAGATGAGGACAACTACTAAGAATCGTATAAAGCAAAATGTTATATAGTTAGAGATGGTGGGGAAGAGGGCTATTTGGAAAAGAAAGTAGAAGAAGGACTTTCTTGAAGGCAACCTATAAGGGGAGACCTGATGGTTGAGAAAGAGCTGGGCATACAGAGTCATTCCAGGTGGCAGGAACAGCGTTTGCAAAGTGCTTGAGGTGGGAGAGAGTGTGGCATCCTTGCAAGAGAGAGAGGCGGCCAGTGAGGTCAGAGTGTCCTGGTGGAGGAGAAGAATGGTTGGACAGGAGTTTGGAGAGGTTGCTGGAAGTGAGATAATAAAGGAGAGGCACTTGATGGTTTTGTAGTTGTTGCTGTTTTTCATTAAGAATCATAGGAAGGGGGAGCCTGGGTGGCTCAGTCAGTTAAGCATCCGATTCTTGATCTCAGCTCAGGTCTCGATCTCAGGGTCATGAGATGGAGTCCTGCATTGGGTTCCATGCTGGGTGTGGAGCATGCTAAAAAAAAAAAAAGAATACTAAGAAGCCTCAGAAGAGTCTTAAGCAGGATTGTGATAAGGTTCAAATCCTCTTTTTAAAAGATCATTCTGCAGTCCCATCCATGTTGATGTGAAAGTTGGGTATTCATCCTTTCTGATGGCTGAGTAATATTCCATTGTATATATATACACCACATCTTCTTTATCCATTCATCTGTTGAAGGGCATCTCAGCTCTTTCCACAGTTTGGCTATTGCGGACATCACTGCTCTGAACATTGGGGTGCATATGGCCCTTCTTTTTCACCACATCTGTGTCTTCGGGGTAAATACCCAGGAGGGCACTTGCTGGGCCATAGGGTAGCTCTATTTTTAAATTTTTGAGGAATCTCCACACTGTTTTCCAAAGTGACTGTACCAACTTGCATTCCCACCAACAGTGTAAGAGGGTTCCCCTTAGCCCAGTGATGGCTATTAAGGAGGGCACGTACTGCATGGAGCACTGGGTGTTGTATGAAAACAATGGATCGTGGATCACCACATCAAAAACTAATGATGTATTGTATGGTGACTAACGTAACATAATAAAATTTTAAAAAATAATAAAAGATCATTCTGACCACTTTGTAGAGAATAGATTATAGAAGGAGCAAAGAGAATGACACTTAATTTGTATTTTCAAGAAAAAGTTGGAGTTTGTGAGGAGGCCATTGATGATAAGGATCTGACAATCAGGAGAGCCACATATATGGAAACACAGCAGCAGAAAGCATCCTGGTGTTTTCAGGAACCATAATCTGACATGTTTAGAATGGATAGTAGTGGGGTGTGTGGGGGGCAGTGCAGCATGGAATAGTTCATTAAGTGTTGGCTGAATTATACTATGGACTTAGATGGTACTTTGTATACTTAACTGTATATGATTATATACAGTCTGTTTTTATTATTTCCAAGATTCTTGGGTGTTCCCCACCTTCCTGTCTAAATTATAAATTCTTTGAAAGCAGGGAGAGGATCTACCATCTCTTACCAGCTGCATAATTGAAGTTTGCTTAGATGGAATGCTTTTGCAACACTTGAAAATTAGAAGATCCGGGGCGCCTGGGTGGCTCAGTTGGTTAAGCAACTGCCTTCAGCTCAGGTCATGATCCTGGAGTCCCTGGATCGAGTCCCGCATCGGGCTCCCTGCTCGGCAGGGAGCCAGCTTCTGCCTCTGACCCTCCCCCCTCTCATGTGCTCTCTCTCTCTCATTCTCTCTGTCTCAAATAAATAAATAAATAAAATCTTTAAAAAAAAAAAAAAGAAAAAGAAAATTAGAAGATCCAGGGAGTACATTGTAAAGGGTTAAGAGCATAGACTTTGGGTCAGATGACCTCAGATTCCTATTTCGAGCTCTACACACGAGCTGTGTGATCTTAGAAAAGTAATTTAATATCTCTGGGCATCCCATTTCCTCACATGGGAGATGGTGAAATCAATAAATCCTACCTCCTAGGATCGCTGTGAGGATTGAGATGAATATCTGTAATTCCACAGAGTGTCGGGCAGTGTTGTCAACACTTGATAAATGGCGGCTCTTTGCTGTTTGTTGGTAGGAGCGGGGTTTGTCTGTAACAAGGTCTAGTGCTACAGAAGGGCTGGAGTCAGCAGACAGGGTTCCTACTAAAAGCCTGCCTCTAGCTCTGAGGATAACCTACTCTACCTTTCTGTGAAACAGGTGGGGTTGGATATTATGGCCACCTCAAAGAGACACCCTGAAGTTTGAAAAGCTGATATTTTACAAGTTGACCTTACTAATGAAAATGAGGGCTTAAGGTTATTTTGTTTAAGGCTACCGAAGTTGCCAGTGGTTAAGTAAGAATCTGCTTTAGTGGTGGCATTAGGAGTCCGAGTGCTTTAAGAAAGTCAAGCCTAAGGGGCACCTGGGTGGCTCAGTTGGTTGGGCAGCCAACTCTTGATTGAGCTCAGGGTCGGGAGATTGAGCCCCACATTGGGCTCTGCGCTCAGCAGGGATTCAGCTTCAGGATTCTCTCTCTCTTCTTCTCCATCTGCCCCCCGCCCTGCTACTTGTGCGTGCTCACTTGCTCTCTCTCTCAAATAAATAAATAAGTTAAAAAAAAAAAAAAAGGAAAGAAATAACATTTAATTTGCACATCCTGTGGCCAGTCAAGTTAACACATAAAATTAGTTACCAGAGTCATCATAGTTTTGTGGCCCTTTATAGGAAGAATGGAGGTATATATTCATAGATTAAAAGCAAAGAAATACCTACTGTCCAAAGTGATGTTGGAGGCATCGTATTTGTTGTTTGTCGCGGTTGTTGTTGAAATCAAAGGAGAATTAGTAAGGTCATGAAACATGTACTAGTAAGGTTGAGCTTACACACATATACACACACATATGTATGTGCATACATATGTATCTGTATATACACACATATGTATATATACACATTTAAAGCACACGTATCATATACAGAGATATATATGCACAAACCTGTGTGTGTGTGTTCTGTTGAAATGAAGGAAGTGGTTGAGGTGGTGGCAGGAGCGTGGAGTAGTGGAAGTAGTAGAAGAGGAAACGTAGAAGACAGTTTCAATAGCTTGTGAAAGAAGAGTGTCCTTGAAAATGTATCACATATTTTTGTGAACCTGGCATAAATGCATTCTGAGATCCTTTGTAGCACCTAGTCCTAGTCTTTTTTAAAAGTCTCATCACCAGTCACTTAACTCAAGAGGAGGAGTTCTTAAGGTGAAGGCCTGTGGGAAGAGCAGCAGTCTTACCGAAAGTTATTTATTGGAGATGGAACTTGCCCAGTTTGGGACATTGGGTAATTGAGAAATCAGATGGTCTTATACTACCTTGTCACCAGGCACCTGTGGAATGTCACACAGAGCCACTCCTGGCTAAGCTACCCGTGTTCTTATATCCAAAATGGGTGGCCCACTGAAAGGAGAAGTGAAAGAAGCTGGATTTTCAACTTCCGTTTACCTCCCTAATAAAATAAATACAAAAGTGCACCTAACAGGTTTTGCTGTTCAAGTCTCAGTTTTTCCACCTAACATAAGCTCTTCTTTAGATTTTCCAGAGCCTCTTGCCCTGAAAAATTTCAACTTACCCTCTTGTCATGTGGAACAGGAGAAGATGAGAGAGAATATGTATTTGTCAGGCACTGACCACATGTTAACTGAGTTATTCCTACACTAAATGGCCACAGTGAGCCAGTGAAGAAATTAAGGCTCTGGGATCTTAAATGACTGCCTGAGACCCACACAGTCAGTAAGAGATGGACGTGATGAATCTAAGTACGGCGCCTAACACATGGCAAACACTCAACAATTGTAGCTAATTCTGCGATGAACTGTTTCACTGTTCGACCAAGTGAACAGGTGTTAGAATGAGCTGTGTGAGCCACTTCTCTAGAATGTACAGCTTCACACAGAGGTTGACTAAATTATTTTCCAAAAGAAAGCTGTGATCTAGGGATTGACATGGCAAGTAGAAACAACCATTAGAGGAGGCCACGATTCAAACAGAGACCCCACTGTTCAAAAACTGATTTTGAAGATAGAATTCCAAGAATTCAAACACAATGAGAAAATTTCTTTTGTAAATCATCTGTCACACTAACCCTGCATTTACAGAGCTGTTGTTTCTTCTTGAACATACGTAATGTTGAAGATATCATTAAGAAACAATGTAATACTTAAGTTATTAGAGGTTTTCTATGAGAAAGTCAGAAAATAGAGAAAGTTGATGCTATGTCAGTAATAAAAAGAACTTTCCAAAATGCAAACTTCAAAAAAACCTTTTTCAGTTGGGTGTAATTGACATATAATATTATATAATTTTCAGGTGTACATCATAATGATTCATTATTTGTGTCTATGTTGTAAAATGGTCACAATAAGTTTATTAACGTCTGTCACCGTACATAGTTACAATTTTTTTTTGTGATATCTTCTAAGTTTTATATATGGTAGCAACTTTCAGATAATGCAATATAGTATTATTAACTGTAATCAACATGATGTACATTATATCCCCATGATTTATTTTATAACTGGAAGTATGTACCTTTGACCACCAACCTTTACCCATTTATCCAAACTCCACCCTGCACCTTTGTCAACCATTATTCTGTTGTTCTCTGTGTCTATGAGTTCGGAGCTTTCTTTCTTTCTTTTCTTTTTTTTTTTTTTAGATGACACATGTAACTGAGATCATATGGTATTAGTCTTTCTCTGTCTGCTTATTTTACCTAGCATGATGTTCTTAAGGTCCTTCTATATTGTCACAAATGGCAAGATTTCTTTTTTTTTTATGGCTCTGTATGTGTGTGTGTGTATTCATTGTATATATGTACCACATTTCCTTAACCATCCATCAGTGGACATTTAGATTGCTTCCCTATCTTTGCTATTGTAAATAATGGTACAATGAGCATGAGGGTGCTCATATATCTTTCTGAGTTAACATTTTTGTAGACTTCAGATAAAAACTCAGAAGTGGAATTGCTGGATCATATGATTGTTCTATTTTTAATTTATTGTGGAACCTCCATTTTGTTTTCTGTAATGACTGCACCAATTTACATTCTCATGTAACAGCTCACAAGAGTTCCCTTTTCTCCACATCACATTAACATTTTTTATTTCTTCTCTTTTTGATAATAGCCATCCTAACAGGTATGAGGTAATAGTGTGGTTTTGATTTACAATTCTCTGATTAGTGACGTTAAACATCTTTTTAAGTACCTATTGGCCATCTCCATGTCTTCTCTGGGGAAAAAAAAAAAGTCTATTCAGATATCCTGCCCATTTCTCAATTGGATTGTTTGGGAGTTTTTGCTATTGAGTTGTAGAAGTTCTTTATATATTTTGGATATTGATCCCTTATCATATATCTAATTTGTGAATATTCTCTCCCATTCAGTAGGTTGCTTTTTTATTTTGTTGATGGTTTTTTTCACTGTGCAAAACTTATCTTTTCAGAGAATCAGCTCTTATACTCATTGATCTTTTCTGTTGTCTTTTCGTTTCATTTATTTCCTCTTTAATCTTTGTAATTTCCTTCCTTCTCCTAACTTTGAGCTTCATTCGTTCTTCTTTTTCTAGTTCCTTGAGGGGTAATGTTAGGTTGTTCGTCTGATATTTTTGTTTCTTGAGGTAGGCATTTATCTCTATGAACTTTGCTCTTAGAACTGCTTTTGCTGCATCCCATAAGTTTATGTTGTATTCCCATTTTCATTTCTCTCAAGGTATTTTTTTACTTCTCTTTTCATCTTTGACCAGTAACATGTTGTTTAATCTCTATAAAAATATGTTTGTGAACTTTCCAATTTTCTTTTTATAATTTCTAGTTTTATACCATTGTGGTCAGAAAAGATCCTCAATAATGATTTCAGTATTCTTTAATTTATTAAGACTTGTTTTGTGGCTTAACATATGATCTATCCTGGAGAATGTTCTAGTCACACTTGAGAAAAATGTATATTCTGCTGCTGTTGAGTGAAATGTTCTTATATATTAGTTAAGTCCATCTGGTCTAATGTGTCATTTAAGGCTGATGTTTCCTTATTGATTTTCTGTTTAAATGATCTATCCATTGGTGGAAGTGGGGTATCAAAGTCCCCTATTATTATTGTATTACTGTCTGTTTCTCCCTTTAGGTCTGTTAATATTTGTTACATATAAAGGTGCTCCTGTGTTGGGCGCATAAATATTTACAAATGTTGTATCCTCGGGCGCCTGGGTGGCTCAGTTGGTTAAGCGACTGCCTTCGGCTCAGGTCATGATCCTGGAGTCCCGGGATCGAGTCCCACATCGGGCTCCCTGCTCTGCGGGGAGCCTGCTTCTCCCTCTCCCCCTCCCCCTGCTTGTGTTCGCTCTCTCGCTGTGTCTCTCTCTGTCAAATAAATAAATAAAATCTTAAAAAAAAAAAACAAACAAACAAATGTTGTATCCTCTTATTGGATTGGCCCCTTTATCATTATGTAATGCTTTCTTTGTCTCTTATTACAATCTTTGTTTTAAAGTCTATTTTGTCTGATATAGGTATAGCTACCCCAGCTTCCTTTTGGTTTTCATTTGCATGGAGTATCTTTCTCCAACCCTTCACTTTCAGTCTGTGTGTCCTTAAATCTGAAGATTAGTCTCTTATAGGTAGCATATAGGTGGGTCTCTTTTCTCATTCATTCAGCCACTCTATGTCTTTTGATTAGAGAATTTCACTCATTTACATTTAAGTAATTATTGATAAGTATTTCTTGCCATTCTGTTGTTTTCTCAGTGTTCTGTAGTTTCCCTTTTCCTTTATTCTCCTCTTTCTCTTTCCCTTTGTGGTTTGATGACTTTCTTTAGTGGTATGCTTACATTTCTTCCTCATTATCTTTTGTGTACATACAATAGGTTTTTGCTTTGTGGTTACCATGAGGCTTACATATAACAATTTAGCTTTATAACAGTCTATCTTAAGTTGATAACTTAAGTTCGAACACATTCTAAAGCTCTACATTTTTACTCTATCTCCATGTTTTATGTTTTTGATGTCACATTTTACATCTTTTTTATGTTGTATATCTCTTAACTAATTATTACAATTACAGTTATTATTACTATTACTACTGTTGTTTTTTTAACATTCATATTGGCTTTATGTGATTAATCTACTACCTTATTATATATTTACCTTTACCATATACTTACCTTTACCTATACTTTTATAAATTTTCTTGTTCCTAATTAGTGCCTTTTCTTTTCATATAAAGAAGTTCCTTTAACATTTTTGGTAAAGTTGGTTAGGTGGTGATGGACTCTTATATCTTTTGCTGGTTTGGA